AGAGCTGGGCTGTGCTCCAGGGAACACCTCCTGTCCCAGACACAGAGCAGGACAGCGGTGACCTGCGTTACCTTCTCGGGTGACAGTAGAAGCCGCGTCCAGGGCTTTGCTGCTGAGGCTGCCCAGCACACTGTCCACGGCCTCGTGGTGCCTGAGGAAGCAGGGCCGGATGACCTTCTGGTAGAGCACCTGTGACCCGTTCCAGGACACGGGGGCCATGCACCACAGCAGGAACAGGCACTGCGGGGAGGAGAGATGCTCCAGAGCTGGAAGATGGCAGGACAGGGCAGGCAGGGGCCGAGCGAGGCAGCCCCCGAAGCGGGGCAGTGACGGGGCAGCAGCTGAGCTGCTCCAGTGCTCCCCCGCCTGGCCCAAAGGCAGCTTCCCAGGGCTGGAGCTCACTGGAGGTACCAGGACTGTGGTGAGCTCTGCAATGCACTACGGCCCTACCACGACCACCACCACCACTCTGCTAACGGGGCAGAGCCCACCACGCTCGGTTCCTCCAAGTTCAGCCATCAGGCAAGAGGACTCTGGCCCCGGCAAAGCCGTTACCTTCCCAGCGTAGTAGAAGGGGAACCAGTAGAGGAAGATGTCGGAGAAGAACTCGGCTATGCTGAAGACGCCATACACCACCCAGTACGTCAGCCACGTGGTGTCATCCTCCTTGTTGGAGCTCTCGATGGCTTTGATGCTGTGGCAGGAGATGGGGAGGGCACTGCTGCTGCAGCCCTGCTGCTGCCAGGGTGGGCATCTCCTTCCCAAGTCCTGGAGCAAACCTGCCTACTGGGTGCTGCTTCCCCGAGCTGGGACTGTGCCAGGTCCCAGTGTTTTCAGGAAGGTCTCAAGAGCTTCCTGGCCATAACCCCCTGCTCATTCACCAGGGAGACCCTCAGCTAAGGGCAGGGAACGCTCTCCAGGGAGGCTGGGCTGGGACACTGGTACTTACGAGACGTACGCGGGGTAGGCGAAGCCGATGAGGTTGCAGAGCAGGGAAGCGCCATAGCCGAACACGAGGTACAGCCCCAGGAACGCCGCGGAACCTGCCGAGGGCACAGAGAGGTGTCACCTGCCTGCTGACACCGAGACGGCGAGGGGAGACCCCGACTCAGTCCACTGAGCAGGATTCTCATCCCAGTACTGAGAAGAGGCGCATGCCGGGACCCTCCAGCTGGGAATAACGACCACCCCCAATTAATTCCAGTACGATGCTCTGCACACCCGACCACTGAGGTGCTCCACATGCCACCTGCGTAGCCGTGCGTGGCAGAGTCCCACCCCTGAGGGAGCCACCACCTGCTCCTGTCACCGTTTGTCCCCTCCCTGGTCTGGAAGGGACTTTACCACAACAAACTCACAGCGCTTTCCACCCTTCACCAGCCTGGACCCCGGCCAAGGCTCAGAGACGTCAGAAGCAGAGACTTTAACACACATCTACAGTCCAAAGTCAAGGTGCTGAGCTTCTCCGTGCGCGGGGCTCGGAGCCACTTGGCATTTTGATAACGACTGTTCAAGGCCAAGCTGTGCTGCCAGAGCCTGCCTCTGCTTTCTGCTCCCCATACACATCTCCTGCACCGGGCTTGTGCTGAGCAGCCACCACTGCTTGTGAAGGATTCAGGCCCCCTGAGAACCAGCAATCCAATCCCACTTCCCTGTTATTAAATTAAATCGTTAAAATTAAATGGAAGCCAAAGCTTTGGTGGTTTGGAGCCTGCCCAGCCCTCAGACGCTTGTAGGAGGCAGGATCGGTGGAGCTGGGAGAGCTGGTGGCCGGGGGAAGCCGGGGGAAGGAGACCTTGCTGCCAAAACCACGGCCACAGCCAAGAGCCCTTGCTCACGGGTGGGCTCAGAGGGTGTGGAGATGCCCAGCAGCTCCCTCCCAACCTGCCCGAGGCGGATGAAACACAGACCCTGAGGGGGCAGAGAGCTGGAAAGCTGCCCGGGGACACGCAGAGCTGGAGGGGGGGGCATTTACTGTCACAGCCCCATTTACTGTCACAGCCCAGCAGCATCGCCCCTGCCCCGCGTACAAACTCCTCCAGCAGCGTCAGCACCTTGCCCTGCAGCGGTGGGACAGCCGGGACTTAACCTGGCTGTGCCGGTGCATTAGAGGAAAGCCCTTGGCTGGGAGGGTGGATTATCCCCGCTCTGCTCACCGCAGCGGTTCTGTGCTTTGCTCTGGCCCCCCTGGTGCGGGGCAGCCCCGGCTCTGGGCACGAACGGGGCTTCGGATCTTTAGAGGAGCAGGAACAGAGCAGCTTTGGTGCAAACCCAAACCTCCCTTCAAGGAAAACTGACGGGCAGGTTCAGGCCGTGCTGGGTTTCATTCCCTCAAGAGCCTTAGGAAGGATTTCACGGGCTAAGTTCAGCCCCCTGAGAAATTTATGTAACAGCAAAAAAACAAGTGAAAGGTTTTGC